CCCACAACATCCTCACAGTTCATAAGGCTTCTATTAAATTTTTAACACTCTGTCTTTTCCAGTGGTAGAGAACTCTTACTGGAGATCAGCTCCAGAGGTATGAATTATATATCTATAAATACTCTCATAAAGCAAAAACCAAGGCAGCTCCAAGACCTTTTATATCCCCAGTGTTCTTGGTAGTTAAAAGAAAAGCACAACTCCATGAAAGTAGTATATGTGCTAAGAGGCTAATTTTTAATTAATATATGCACACTTTGTGGAATAAGAAGGCCAAGCAAAGCACTAGGCTACTTGGTATAAGGTTTCCCATCTCACTGACCTCCATTCTTTCAGCGGTCCTTCCAGTTAGATGTTCATTTTTTTGTTGGGTTCTTGCTTTATTTTTTTCAGCTGTACTGTTGATGGGCAAACTAGTCTTGCATCTATATCACTGCAGAGAAAACCATTTTATCTGTTTCTCTTTTGTTTAGTTCTTTGGCATTGTGTTGTCAAGAGAACGTATTTCTATTCAGGAAACATCCATTCTCTGCTTAGGAGAGAAAGTACAGAGTATCTGAAAAATAAATCTGGAAAATCCTTGTGAAAACTTTGGATTGTTAAAGTAATCCTGAACTTGGAGCATACGGATGAACACTGTTAACTGCTGTGTAACAGCCAACAGAAAAAAAATGGGAAAAGAAACCTGTAACTATCAGGAAACAGACCATATAATCCTCAAACAGAATCTAAAGCTCACATGAATATTTGTTTGGAAGCCATGGCCCAAACTGGGTGGCAGCCTTGCCTTTTTTTTTTTTATATAAGCACAGAACTATTTGGAAATTGAACCCATAAGTTTTATTTGGGTCTCAAAGCATTTAATTTTGCAATTGAAAAAGTGGTAGACATTATGAGAAAATAAAAACTTGACAAACATAAAACCTGTCTCAAATATATTTCTCTTTCCAGATTGTCATGTAAGGTTTTTCAGGAACTCCTCTAGCTTTTTCTAGAAATCTAAATCTTTAAAACATTTGGCTTCTACAGCAAACCATTCAGGATTGAAATCCTGCATAAGTAATTCTTGACAACTGAGTGGCTCTTTGTCTTTTAAATCTTTCAGTGCTTACCTTGAAACCAAGTTGGGGCCTGGGCAAGAGGCACCAATTCTCCATAAAACGACCACTGGCTACAGGCAGCTTCCTGCTCCCTCAGCTGTCCTTCTGTGAAAGATGGTTACCCCTACATGCACACTCATAGTCTGCTTGTCATCAGACTCCCCCTTGTGTCTCTTACAAACAGAAATGTAGTACCAGTAACAGAGTTGTTTGCAGGCATGATGTGAAAGTTTGCAGTTGCTCCCCTCCATAGATATCGGTGATCATATTTCTCACACTTTCCTGGGAGCTTTTCAGAATTTACATTCCCTCTTATCTTTAAATAACACATTTCTTTTAGATTGATTGGCATTTTTATCGTGCCATTTTAAAGGGTGTTTTTTTCCTCTATAAATCACATAGGCCAACAAGTATTCATTGTGCTTTCATCCTGTTAGACCTACCACTTCAAGTTTGCTGTGAGTTTTGCATAGATGCCTAACAGCTGTCAAAAAGAAGTCAGATCTGATACCTAGGGTGCTTTTTCTGACTTAGTCTCTCACAGCTTTTTTTCAGTCTCACAGATTCTTCCATTAGAGAGAGAAAAAGAAAATCAAAACATTATTACCATCCTTGCAGCCATCTACCTGATACTCCCCAAAAGTATATGTAACAAATTTACTCCTTGATGGAGAAGTGATTCCTAATGCAAGACCTTAAAGAGTCTCTTTATTTCTTTAGTATGCAGGTAACCATAGTATGGATCATTGGACAATTTGAAATAAAAACTAATGATGAGATTAAATAATTGTATCAAAGTTAATCCAGTCTTCCTGGTATGAAAGTTGTTTCTCTTCTCTCACGTATTGTGAGATGAAAACTTTTTAAAACTTAGTCCTAATTCTGTCCTATTGTCTTCCATCCAACAGACTTGCTGGAATCAAAAAGCTCCAATATTTTCTCCATCACTTATGTAAAATTCCACTTATGATAGCAAGTTTATCAGCTTTATTTTATATTTCAAGGAGACCATGATCATTTAATAGTTGCAGTAGTCTTGATCATTAGCTCAAGTCCTCAACAGCAACAAAAACTATAAAACTATGACCTAGTTTTAAATGAAAGGGGTATTGGGGCAAAAGGAAAGTCTTCCTATTAAATGTAAGATATGTCTGATTCCTTCCAGAAAATTAATTATTAATACGAGCAAAATAATTTCTCTTTTGAAGAAAACTGCCCAAAGTATTGTCCCAGTGTATGGCAGATGAACTGCATACTGATGCTGTGTGTCAGTATAATAGCTTTTAAGAACAAAGGCACTTCAAAGCTCTAGGTAAGCAATTAAAAGCTGCCAAACTGGGTTTTTTTCCAATTGAGTGTCACAGATGGTGAATGAAAATCACAAGTCAATACTGCTCTTTAATAACAAAACAGTGATCTTAAAAAATTGTTTAAAAAGAACATTTTCTATCCCTGACTTTCTGGAACTTAAATTCTCGAGTCATGCAATTTGATGCAATTCTGACTTAAATACTGTAATTTTTATTCATTTTTTTTACCAGGCTCACAGATGATCTTTCCCCCTGAGGCATACTCCAAGTTCATCCCAAGCCCACCTGTTTGCATAGATTATAGGTGCTCTCCTCAAGCCACGCATAGGGTTTTTGGACATATAAATCATATTACATGCTCTAGTTTCTACATTGCTCAGAAAACAGCTCAGATGCATGAGCACAAAATGCCATGTAGCCTTTTGTCAGACTACATTTTCTGCTTTTTTACATAATTTTTTAAAAAATATGTAGTTTGCAGTGATTGATACTTATTTCTTCATCCTCTAACCAGTAACAAAAGAGGTATATGAAGGTACTGAGGAAGCTCAGGAAACTAAACATGTTCAAATTGGCCCTTTTTATCTTAGCTTAAAACTAACTTTGGATGAAAGTACGCAAAAGTACCATATTTCTTATTTTGGCCTAATTTCTGCCCTGGTACCTCTGAGATAATTCTGACTTTTTCAACTGATTAAACTGTGTGACCACTTAGTTTCTCATTAAGGAAAAGAATAAGTCATATTGCTAGTTCAGCTATCCAGATTTAATTGAACTGTTAAGTACCTTTTCCAGTATATTGCCATCTTCAGTATGTAATTTGTTCAGATATATTGCTCTCCAAATACATTTAGAAGGAATTTAGGTTGTAGACTATTCCTTCTAGAACTTCTATGGACATTACTGGCAGAATTCAATGGGAAACGAGTGCATGTAATATATAGGGTAGATTTGAGAGAGCAGAATTTTGACCCTAATGCCATTCAGCACTGTAACAATGCCAAACTGTTCATTAGCAGTTATTAATACAGAATTAAAACCCTGAATTACTTATTTAGAAGCTGTAATTCCTTTTACATATCCTTCCTTAAGAAATGGTATGTATAAATAAAATTTTCAAGACATTAGAAATACTTAGGGAGTTACACTCCTTTGAACAGATCTAGATGACTCTCATGATGTCAGCTGAACTCTTCAATGTATATTTTAAGCAGCTTACTTAAGTGGCTAGCACAACAAAAATTACCCAAGGGACAATTTTATACACAAATTTTCCAAAGCAACATGGCTCATTCTAAAAAAGTGTTGATGACCAGTATGTCAGCAGAAGACTATGTAATCATAACTAAAGGAATTAGATAAATGAAATTCCACATCAGAATAAAACAATGGAGTGTTAATTACCCATAAACTCAAAGGTAGAAGTACAGTCATATTACAATATATAGAAAAAACAGGGCTAGTATCCTAAAAGTAGCGATATTGCTGTTCAGAATCCAAATCATAGGAATGATACACCAATTTTCTTGCTTCAGTTGTAGCTTATACTATGGGAAGGTACAAAGGTACAGTTTGTTGTTCAAGAGTAGACCATAAGTCCACCTTGTTCTTAGTCCTCTGTAGGCAGGTAACCATCATGTTAGAAATAAGTAGAACTGATCACAGCTCTCTGCTTATCAAGAAGTAACAGTAGGTGTGAAGACAACTTCTGCAGTACAATCCTGGGCTCAATCAAACTGGGGTTTATCGAAGTCCTTATTCAGTTATATTATCAATCACAATAAAATCTATCCTAATTTTTAATCGAATTATAGTAAAAGAATATCAAGAAGAACCAAAGATGAAGATAGTATGGCACTAGTAGCCCCAAGAGGTGGAAGGAAAGGGACATCCCTCGTGTTGAACAGAATGCTAAAGAAATATTAAAAAGAGATGGACATTGAGTAGAGCTCTGTACCCTCATGGACCCCAGTAAGTACTTGATTCTTATTCCATCCCTTGCTTTCATGAACTTTCCCACAATTTAAAAGCCAGATAATGATCAAGAAGAAATGGATGAATGCTAAATGCCTTAAGGAAAGGACTTCTAAACTACAGGTGAGCAGATTAGAATGGCAGAGAAAATACCATTGTTATTTTAAATGAAAATAATCAGAAGAGGAAAAACTGGTAAGATGAGTGGTAAAAAACACATTTATGAAAACACTGATCTATGGAAGTCTAAAATAATTAATTTAAATAGTCTTCTAACCAAATGCTTAAGAAAGATCACTACCAAAAATTGATGACCACAGAGTCACTTGAGAGTATCTTCAAAAATCAAAAACTTTGGGTCCCCAAAAATCCAGAGTATTTTACTGTACATACCTAGCATAGGTAGGAAATGGAACATGCAGTTTACCCATGTCCAAACAGGATGGGAAGGAACAGGAAAGTATGTTGGTCGTGTAGCTAGGGTGAGAAACGTGATCCCTGACACCTTTTCAGAATGCCCACAACCTCTCTCGCCCTTGAGTCAAGTGAACAGAAAATGGTGCATTGTGTCATTAAAATGTACTAATCTTCTTTTTTTCTCTCTTTTCCATCCCAGGAGGTGAATTAGTTATCCCTCTACTTGTAGAAGACCCTTTAGATATCCCTCCTATTGCTACTCGTGCACCTTTCATTACACTTCCCCCTACCTTTCGCCCCCTCCTCACCATTATTGAGACCACCAAAGATTCCCTGTCCATGACCTCTGAGGCGGGGTTACCTTGCTTGTCGGACCAAGGCAGCGATGGTTGTGATGATGATGGCTTGGTGATATCTGGGTATGGCTCAGGGGAAACCTTTGACTCTAACCTACCCCCTACTGATGATGAAGATTTTTACACCACCTTCTCCTTGGTAACAGATAAGAGTCTTTCCACTTCCATCTTCGAAGGTGGCTACAAAGCACACGCACCCAAGTGGGAATCCAAGGACTTTAGACCTAACAAAGTCTCCGAAACTGGTAGGACTACTACCACGTCTTTGTCCCCTGAGCTGATCCGCTCCACAGCTTCGTCCTCGACTGGGATGGTGCCCAAATTGCCAGCCGGCAAAATGAATAACCGTGAGCTCAAACCCCAGCCTGACATAGTCTTGCTTCCGTTGCCCACTGCCTATGAGCTAGACAGCACAAAGCTGAAGAGCCCGCTAATCACTTCCCCCATGTTCCGTAATGTGCCCACAGCAAACCCCACGGAGCCGGGAATCAGACGGGTTCCGGGGGCCTCAGAGGTGGTCCGCGAGTCGAGCAGCACAACGGGGATGGTCGTCGGCATTGTGGCTGCTGCCGCCCTCTGCATCCTCATCCTCCTGTATGCCATGTACAAGTACAGGAACAGGGACGAGGGGTCCTATCAGGTGGACGAGACGCGGAACTACATCAGCAACTCAGCCCAGAGCAACGGCACGCTCGTGAAGGAGAAGCAGCAGAGCTCAAAGAGCGGCCACAAGAAGCAGAAAAACAAGGACAAAGAGTATTATGTGTAAAAAAGAATACTTATTTATATATAAATATATAAATACTTAATGAGATTTAACTGAAATATCAGAACCATTGCAGCAAACGAGATGATTGGGAGATATCGTTTGTGGGAAAAAGTATTGGGAAAAAAATTTCAGCAGTGACTGTTAATGTCTCAGTCATCGCTTGGAGTCAGCAAACTTTGCCCTAATGTATTATAAAGCACACTTAGCGTTCTGGAGATGGCGCACACAGCTCTGCTCTGTTAGTGAACTTGGACATCTCCAAATCTCCTCCTCCGCTGAACTTTCTGCAAAAGTAGAAGACTTCATGGCTTACTTGTTTCATATCTCCAAGTGAGTCTTTAACAATGTTCGTGATCCCTGACTGTATTGATAATTTTTCAGTTTACTTATTTAAAAAAAAAAAAGGAAAAGGAAAGAAAAATTAAAAAAAATACAAACATTACTAAACAACAAAGAAATATTGAACAAAATTATCTGGCCGTGTCCAGCATACATATAATTTTTTGAGATTGGAGGAGGGGAATAAATGATTTTGGAGATTGTTGGATTTTTGGTTTGGTTTGGTTTTGTTTCTTGGGTTACTTATTGTTTGGTTTTCTTGGTTACTTTTGGGTGTGGGAGGGAAGAATGGAGTGGAATGGTGCAGGGGGTGAACCAGGACATACGTTGAGAAGAAGTCTCGGAAAAAAAAAACCCTAATAAATAAAGAGAGACTATTGCCATATATGAACTCAAAAGCTACCCATGGTGTTTACTCTGCATATCTGGTTGTGTTGTCTCTAGAAACTGTGGTCTTGCAGTAAGTTGTTTGCTAACAACGCAGTGAAAGTGACTCATGGGTGGTGCTGAAGAAAATTATCATGGAAAGCTGGTTCCCTTGAATCTGGCTCTAGTATTTGCAATTGAACTAAAGAGTATATGTATTTGGCTCTGTTCTGATCAGTCATTGGCTTTGAGTACCGCACTTAGTATGCATTAGCACAGCCAAAGTATGTTTAACAGGATTTGGAGATTCAAAAAAGAATACTTAAAAATGATTAACTATTCTGAGCTGAATATATTGTGCAAAAATAAAGGAGCCTTCCTCTGGGTTCTGGTTCTGTGACATTGCAATGCATGCAAAAAATAATGATAAATCAGTTTCATAAAGAGATCAGAAAGACACCACTGGAGTTCAACTTGTGACAAGACCAATAAATGTCAGAAAAGCTAAACAATTGTAAAAGAACGCAAAACACATAGATTTTTTGACATATAACTGGTTTTCATATGTAATATTTTAATTTTGTAGCTTGACATTTCAGATCATCTCTGTCTTTCCATTTGCCCTATTCTCCCTTTTCCTCCTCTTTTATATAAAAGAAAATAAATGAAGCTGCTGTGACACACAGAAAAAAAAAGAAAAATTAATTTAATAATATAATATATATATATACACACAGATATATTTATCATGGTATGTTTGATGGGACGACTGGAACGGAAGTTCTGTTATGGTCTTAATGTGGAATGAGAATGTTCTTGAAGAACAGAGTAAAAAGAAACAGACAACAAAAGCAAACCTTAAAATGTGAAGTGTGTGTTTTAGCTTTGTCACAGTTACCTGTGTCAAAAAAAAATCTGAAATTTTGTTTACATATTTTACTACTATTTTTTTGCTAGTATAATTTCTATATGGATACCCTGACGGTGTATATACTGTTTTATGGTTAAATTGGGAATTTCTTTTATTTTATTTAACTTATTTAATTTCATTGTTTGGTTTCTACATTTTCCCAGTTATTGTGAAAAGGATTATCTTACTGTACAGAACAATAGTGAGGTGGTTTGACGGCCATGCCTACCATGATTAAAAAAGCAAATAAGGGAGAGACAGACAGAAAAAACAACAAAAACCAAGAAGGATTGAGAACTCTGGAATATCAGAAATGTACACTTTTACTGTATGCGGTTGAAAACTAATCAGCTGTTTAGGTTTAGAAATCTACTCTTGCTGGTGTTTATAAGTCGCATGAATATTTGACTCTGAAGAAGTGTCATCAGATACACACACGCACATGGGAACTTAAATTCAAAAAAACAGTCTTCTCAAACATTTAGAGAAGATGCTTTCATGTTAACAAATATTTTCAGTGCGTGTATGTGTGCGTGTGTGTGGTGCGTGTGCGTGTGTGTGAGGTTGAGCTTTTTTTCTTTTTTATTTTTTATACTAAAAAGAAAAAAAAAGACAGGTTTTAAAAAGGTATGAAAGCACGATTTTAGATGACTTAACTGGCCGAAACTATATAAAGTTGATTATATCTTGATGTCTGTAAAAGATTGCTGTTCTTGGAGTCTTGGAGTCTTGTGAAATGATTTCCTGCTTTCTTTCTTCCTTTCCTTTTCACTTTCCTTTTTTAAGTTAAAGAAAAAATATTTACACTTTCCTTTTTTGTGTAAGTTTCTATTGGACAGTTTTTGGGAACATGTGCATTTCTGTATGTGGGCTTCTACCATATCCCTGTTGCTTTATGGACAACCTGAAGAATTTTTATTTGAGTTTTTGTGATGTTATTGCTTTTTTTCTTCTTTCTTTTTCTTCTTCCTTTTTGATTCTTTTTCTTTTCTTAGTTGCATTTTGTTTAAAGATATGCTTAGCAATAAAATGTTCTTCCCAAAGCGCTGGATGTTGCTGGTTTTTTATTTCTAAAAGACTTCAGGGAAATTCCAGACCTTTAAAGATGAAAATAGTCCGTGATGTAAGTATCACGCATCCCATTGGAATGTCTAGCCATGAAATTGCAGAATCCTGTTCATGTTTGCATTCTTCTGTTAGTCCAGTGAATCTTATTTCTCTCCTTTGCGGGGATATAAATTCAGCTTGAGTCTGGGGTCTGTCTCACACCACTCCCAGCCCCTTGTCCCTTACCGCCACCTCAGTTCTCTGGAATATGGGTTTCAGTCATCTCAGATAAAAGCATACCTAGGATATTGACTTAGTATGCCCTTTCTTATGTACTGCCTTTTTTCTTATGTGCTCCCTCTGAAGTGTGTAGCTCTTCCCATGATGTTTATAGGATTCTGGATTCCTCTTCTTTGGCCAGGAGTCTGTGTTTGATGTGCTGCAGCAGCTGAATCCTTTTGGGGATTTGGACAGCCAATTTGATGCAGAAAAATGTTCACATCATTTTATATGAAGATCTGTCTTAGGTCCTCTGAATTTATCTATGACTTCCACGTACTACCTAAGGAACATAGTTTACATACTTTGGGTGCTGTGCACTAGGGATCAAACTTGGATACCTAAAGTAGACAGTCTGAGTGTTAGCCTCCTTCCAGATTGGCCCTGAGCATCCCAAAACCCCGACTACAGCTACTGACTGTCCCTTGTTTTCCTACAGGGAATAATAGTCTATTATGATTCTGGCCATCAGGCAAAATTGCCAATATTCTGTCTTGCTTTAGCAAGCTGTGCAGAAATTCAGCTCGCAGTAGTAGTGTGGAGTTTTTTTCAGACTCGATCTTCCCAAGCTACCTGCAAGATTTTTTTAATTTTAGAGGCATCTGGAGGTCAGCCAAATGAGAGTTTCACAGCCCTTTCATTCTTCAACAGAGGATGACTTCACCTTTTTTTTCCCTCTAGGTGGAATCCACCGGTCTTTTGAGCAGTGTTTTCCACAGGTTTCATTTACAACCAAATTGGACTCAGGATAAAATGATTGTTAAGGTATTCCCTGTGATTTTTCTACATTGTTTTTGCTCATATGTTTTCATAGGTGAGAATATGTATGTGTATATATATGTGATGTTCTTTTACTGTTTTCAGTTCTTTTCTGAATCATAGTCTAGCAATTTACAGATTCTCACAAGTATCAAATGCACAGATTCTCGTCTAAACTCCACTCTTCTTTCACTCCTAAAATCATTAAATTCCTGGGTGATGACTGATGCCTAATATTTCCAGTGCTGGAGCAGTCAGTTGGCATGTGGGAGATCTAGGTCTAAACCTAATTAACCCTTCTAACATTGAAGAAAATTTCCTTATCACCAAGCAGTTTGTGTTTTGAAAAAATATTTTTTTCTCAATGCTTCTCTCAAAACCTGTTATACTTCACATCATTATGAAGTATTATGTGAAGCAAGAAATTTCAACCTGATTTACCCTCACCCTCTGGCTTTTTTTTCATTTTGTCTGTCACCTAATGATCATTTTATCACTTAGGCTAAATGAAAATGGCAGAAAGGAGGTTTCATTGCTGCCTGAAAGGCTTAGGATTATTGTGTCTCTTTGGCTCATCTCAGGATCATAGAATCATTGAGATTGAAAGGGATCCTTGGAGATCATGTAGTCCAAGCACTACCACTCCAAAGCAGGGTAAGCTACAGTAAATTGCCCAAGACTATGTCCATTTAGGTTTTTTATATCTCCACATGTAAACTCCAAAATCTCTCTGGGCAAACTGCTCTGTGTGACCACCCTCATTGTAAGCAATTTTTGTTGTGGTTAGATGAAATTTGATATTTATTAATTTATTCTCATTCCCTTTTACTGTTATTCTGGGTACTTTCTGGTACTGAAAAGACCCTGGCTTTCTCTTCTTTACAACCTCCCTTCAGGTGTTTATACATATTGCCCGTAAGCCTTCTCTTCTCCAGGCTGAGCAGTCCGTGCTCTCTCAGCCTCTCCTTGTGCAACAGATGCTCCAATCACTTATTCATCTTCATGGCTCTTTATTGGACTCACTCCAGTATCTGCAAAATCTGGAGCAGACACAATTGCCTTACCACCATCACTGTGCTAGGGATATAGCTCTTTTCAAGGACCAGGGCTTGCAACTACTCCTCTTCCCAACATTTTCTACTGGTAACATCCCACTTACTGTATTACTTTTTGAAGATCCCTCTCTTAGATGCTTAGTTCTATTCTTCCAAACTGTTCAGCACATCTCTACTTATTGCACAGTTGCAGATGTTCTTTACAAGTGCTGAGGCAAGTCACGAAGATCTAACAGATGGGCTCTAGCCTTCCCAGTCCTAGCGTTGCAGAAAAGGACTAGTGAAAAGCAACTTCAGTGCTGGTTCCTTTTCCAGATATTTCTGTCCATGCCTCTGGTCTGGGAGGGAGGGCAGAGATGCTGGTCCCCTCTGCAGTTGCTATGCCAGGCTGTTTTTCTTCCCCAAGAAGTAAGAACATATTGATCAGACAGTTTTGTAATAATGATTAAAAGACAAATATCCTTCCCATAATGGGAAGGATAGTAGTGGAAGTATCCATAGTGGAAGTATCTTCAATCATAAAGTGGTGATTACTCCCAAGAAAGGCAAAAAAACATGAATTATAATCAATAAATGTGACTTGACAATTAGAGCCAAAGCTAAGCATGTTACTTTTAGGGAGATTTTAATGCTATCAGTGTGCAAGATCACAAAGTTCTGTCAAGTGCCCTGTGAAAACAGTCACATGCAGCTGCTCCTATTTTATCATACATCCTCTCGAGCTGCCAAGGCTGGCCCTGACTCCCTAGAAGATGTTTCTCATATGGTAGAACAAATCACTGCCTTTCCCTCCACACATACAAGTGGCGACAAAGAATTGGAATGGGAACAAGACCTGCCTTCCAGCTGTCGGCCTCATTGGATCTTCTTGGGTTAGCAGAAGTACTAGCACAAGGAAAAAAGACTATTGCCTGCTGTTCAGCTCACTAGATGGGACCCTAGCTGAGCTCTGAGAGCGGGTTTGCCAAGGTGGTAAAGAAGTATTGCAACCTGGGGTGTCATGATAACTGAAGGAGATTGGAGTACAGGGTCTTGGCTGATTCTTACTCTTTATTGGTGAAAGTTTCCCCCACAGTAGCAACATTTGTTGGGTTATTTAAGAAAAAAATTAGAACCTCTTATTCAATTTGGTAAAACACTGCCTTATGCGTAGCAAGCTTTCACACTCTGTTTCCTCTTCAGACAGTACACATTGCACATAGTGAGATATCTCCTGTCCCCAAATGTTCCTGATAACCTCATTTCTCTGGAGAGCCTGTTCATGTTGTCTTTCACAGATCAGCAAATACAGTGCCATTCAAGGTAAATTTTCAGTAAATGGTTGGTCTGCAGGGATTTGATATTTATAATTTCGGCACATGGATTGCATGAGAGAGGAAAAGAGCGCACCGAAGAGATTATGTTGGACTGCATACAGCTGGAAAAAAGGCTTAATTGCTAAAGATATTGAGGTGGCTAATTCTTATTAAAAACAGAGGAAATGAATTATATAAACATTTTTAAAAATTGAGGCCGTTTCAGTGTAGTAGTCAGATAAAGTTAATTAGCTAGTGTTAATTGCTTGGTCTTTTGCAGTACCAGATGGTGTAGGCAAGTGGTGGACAAGGTTCTGCTCTCTCTCTCTTATATGAGGTTTGTATAACTCACCTGCTTTTAGGGGGGAGTAAAAATGAGAGATGGCTCAGATCTGCTGTAAATTGACTGGAGAGAAATCCAATTCAGCATGCTAGGATGAAGCTGCATGAGCATGTTGTTTCCTTAAATTCAATTGAAGCAGACAAAAAAAAAAAATTTGGCACATTTCCATACCTTGTAAAAACCTAACAGAAGCACAAACCTGCACTTCTGCCACCAAGTGCAACCTAAAGCCACTCAGCAAGAGTTTTCATCTTCTACTCCATGTTTTCATCTACTACTCCATGCTTCTCTTTTGTCTGCCTGTTCACAGAAGACAACGAAGGGGCAATATCCACATGGGTCAGCAAAATCCTGAACAAACAGCTGGGAAAACCTTAGGCACACTTTTCCTCAATGGCTCATAAGCCAGGCCCTATGCTTAACAGCTTTGGCTGATGCACATGGAAAATTAAACTCATGGGAAAAGTATTATATATACATATATGTATATTTGGAACACCGTGAAAATATTCACTCATCATGTGGATTTCAAGAGTAGTTACATAAAGTGTTAAAACACTGGACAACAAAACCATAGAAATGAAAGTGGAAATGGGAAAAGTAGAGGCTCTGTAAACCATCGGTAATTGTATCTGCATGACCTCCTTGATGCAGATAGTTCTCACAGTTCTTTGTCTTATAGTTTGTCCCAGTAATTTAAAGTTGTTACTACTATCAAGTGATGGTAACAGCAAGCCTTTAGTACAGGGGGGAAAGAGATGATGGAAAGATCACTCACAGGGTGATGAGGAACCCCCTTCTGAGGAGCAGTTTCCAAGGGCTATTTGTAAGAATAAATGAAGTGGGAAAAACAGATCCTGCATGCAGTGCACAGTCATGCACCCAGTAAAGCAGTAGGTAAAGAACAGGATTTTGATTTCCAAAACTAAGAATGTATGGAGCGAGCTGTACCGGGGCTAAGACTCTTTATGTAGCTTGATTCAAGCCCTTTTCTCCACATGCATTATGAACTAGAGTTTACTGGTACTATGCAGAATTCTATTCCAGCAGGTCTGTTTGAACTCTCTAAGTATTTGATTTCTACCACTTCTTTTTCATCATATGATTATTCATGTCTGCCTGTTCCCTGACTCACAAACGTTAATTTACATCCATGGTTCCCTTGTGAGGTGATACCAATATCTCCCCTATGCAAGGACATAAACTAAGACAAAGAGACTTGCCTGTGGTTATATAGAAAATCCATGGCTGTAAAAAGATTAGCC